ATCAAGGACCTTAAATTGCAACGTTTCCTGTGGCTTCTTGGTCTTCATCCTGGTCTCCTCTAACCTCTCCGACTCCATTCGTGGTTAGAAAGTGGAGGATAAGGTGATAGGTGGAGGCCACAACTCTTAATGTGTTAAGAACAGGTCGCCTCAGTATGATATTGTGGGCTGATGGGCAGTCTATGACCAAGAAATTGACCATGACTGTGGAGCTCTGAGGCGCTGCTTCGGCTGTGATAGGTAGGGTGATGGACCCTAAGGGATATACCTTTTCTCCTAAGAACCCAATGAGGGGTGATCTGATAGGCTGCAGTCTCTCTCTGTCTAGGTTGAGCTTGTCATAAGCCTTTGCGAATAGGATATCCACAGAACTGCCGTTATCCACTAAGATCCTACGCACCTGAAAATTGGCCACGGTCATGGTGAGCACCAGGGGGTCGTCATGGGGGTGCTGGATTCCCTCTAGGTCCTTATCTGAGAAAGATATGACATTGTTGTCACCCTGCTTTAGCACTTTGGATGGGTGCATCTCGTCGAGGTGCCTTGCCTTTCTAGCGTGGGCCTTCATTGTAGAGAGTGATTCTCCACCTCCTGCTAGTCGTCTCGAGATGGTGTGGATCTCCCCCACAGGCTGTTGGTCTTCTTGATTGTGAGGTGGTGGTGCTCGTTCTCTACTAACAACATACTGGTGTAGGTGGCCACGGTGAATGAGTTCCTTAATTTGTCTTTTGAGGTCATAACAATCATCGGTGTCATGCCCATGGTCGTGGCGGAAACGACAGTACTTGTTAGGATTTCTGTGATTTGGAGGAGACTTCATCTTGTCTGGCCACTTTATGGCCAAATCATCTTGGATCTGAAATAGGATGTGCCCGACAACGACATTGAGAGGGGTGAAGGCTTGTCGGTCCCTCTGAGGAATAGAACCTAGTCGGTCTTTGACAGGAACCCTCTCTGTTCTACCGTGTTTGTTGCTAGTCTCCTTCTTATCTTCCCTCTCCCTTTTCCTTCCTCTTTTCCCTACTCTAGAGGACTCACCTTGCGTGGCCCTTGTGATGTCCTCAGCATTCATGTATTTCTGGGTTTTTGCTAGCAGCTCGGCATGCTCTTTGGCGGGCGCTTCATCACTAAGAAGAGGAAACTTGACGAGCAGAGGCCTCCCAAGAAGGCGGTCATCGTCTCTTTGTCATCGGGCTCATCAACTTGGAGTACCTCCTCGTTAAAACGAGTGAGGTAGCTCTTCAGGCTCTCCTCCCAGTCCTATTTTATGCTAAGCAGATGGGTGACAGGTTTCTGGTGGTGACACCCCTCCATGAAATGCGATACGAATGACCTGCTCAACTCAGCAAAAGAGGCGATGGAGGCTAGGGAGAGCTTATCGAATCATTGTCGTGCTGACCCCTTCAATGTTGTTGGGAATGCCCTAGACATGATTTCGTCTGGGACGTTGTGCAACTGCATCAGAGTTTTGTAGGTGTCGAGGTGATCTAGTGGATATTTTGTTCCATCAAAGATCTCCACGGATGACATTTTGAACTTCTGAGGGACGAGATAGTTCGCCACGTCAGGCTTGAAGGGCGTGTCTGTACGCCTTACCATGTAGTCTACTGTCTTGGGTCCCTGTGCCTTCATGGCATTGAAGACGACACCCAATTGATTTTGCATTTTCTTGATCTTCTCGTCTCAATGGTTGGGGTCTCCCTTGGAACGATCATGGCAATGACTCCCATAATCCATGCTTTGATGCTTGCCCTTATCCTTTTGGAGATGAAGGTCTTCACCATAGGAAGTAGGAGGAGGAGGTGGAAATCCCTCATGAGGGGCTCCCTTGTGTGGGGCTCCCAAGGGGACTCCAAAGGGGGCACCTAGGTATGGAGCAGCAGGGTGTGGAGCTCCTTGATGTCCAGGGCATGGAGCTCCTTGGGTCCTCCATGTTGTGCACCTCCAAGTTGTGTTCCTTCTTGTCCAGCAAGCATGAGTTGCAATATCTACTAGTTTTGGGCCACCAGCTACTACATGGTCTCCAGCATTTGCCGTGGATTGGAGCTGGAGCATTTGGGACAGGGTTGGTAGGTGGAGGAACAACCTCTTTCTCGTGGTGGATTGTCTTCGTGTTGGTTCATGGATCTGGTAGTGATCGTCATTGGTTCAGCAAATGGAATGTTTAAGAGTGAGAATTTTGTCGTTTCCCACAGACGGCGCCAAACTGATGATGTACAAAATGGTTTTGCACACCACCTATCAAGTATGAATAATAAATACAAGAAATAATATAAGGAGATGAAGAGATACAAGCAATTTATAGTGGTTCGGTCAACTCGACCTACGTCCACTCTTGAATGGCTCTGGTCGCCGGGTACTTATTAACTCAAGGGTGTGGGGAGTAGAGAATACAAGTTTTGAGGAAGAGAAGAGAGTCATGCTCAGGTAAAAAGTGATGCCCCCCAAATGTTGATGGGGCGTACAACTTATAGTGGACCCCTAACAGGTTGGGGCTATATTTCAGCAACTAAACAACCATTTTGGTGGAGCTCACGACCTCTTCTCAATGGGCAAGATGGTTGAGGAGCTCTCTATGAGATGCGGTCAAAGATAAGGTGAGGGTGGACCGTTTCCTTCTGCGGTGCAGGTAAGACCCCCCTACTCTCCCTCTTGATGACGTGGCTAAGTAGAGAGTCTGACTGGTCTTGAACTATGTTGGGCTTGGTGGATCTTTAATGAGGTTGGGCTCCTCAATTGAGATTTGGACTTTCCACATAAATTGGGTTATTTGGGCTTGACCCATCATTTGCCCCCCCCCCCCCCAATGCCTCCTATGTCTAAGGAAACTTGGAGGTGGAGGCATTGCATCTTGAGTTATAACTGGCAGAGACTTCCTTTGCTAGATGATTCGTCACTTGTGTGCACACTTCAAGCCTTTCCTACTTTTGCTAGGATTTTTAAGAGGGCCCATAATTTTCAATTTGGGCTTTTCCCACTTTAAAAACCCTCGACTATAAATATAGTCTTCTTCTTCATTTTGGGTGGCCCCCGAACAGGTTGGGGGGCATCACTTTTTACTTGAGCACGACTCTCTCCTCTCTCTCAAAACTTGTATTCTTTACTCCTCACACCCTTGAGTTAATAAAGTACCCGGTGACCAGAGCCATTCAAGAGTGGATGTAGGTCGAGTTGACCGAACTACTATAAATTGCTTGTGTCTCTCCATCTCCTTATATTATTTCTTGCATTTATTATCGATACTTGACAGGTGGTGTGCAAAACTATTTTATGCATCATCAGGTATTAATATGATTGGCATATTGATAATTATTTTTATTTTATTCAATAATTTATAAGTGAAATTTTAATCAAATTAATTTTTTAATTATCTATTCTCTATTATAAATGTCAATTTTTATGAAAATTTTTGATTGATTATATTATTCTTAAAAAATATATGCATTATTATAAGTTTTAACAAAATATTCAAAAGCTCCATCAATATAATATCACTCATCTCATTTATAAAAATAATATTATGACTACATATGTATATATATAATTTTATCAAAATATGTTTAACCATTTCATTTTTAAGATAAAAAAATAATGTATATATAGTTTTACATATTTTTTAGTCACAGTAAACTTTTTAAACTATGTTAACATTTTATGTGAAAACTTGAATTTTTTTAAAATTTTAATATGTTTTATAATATATATTATAGTGTTGTTTATTAAATTTTATCTCAATTGACCTAACTAATCCTAAATACAGTAAAGTTCTAATATGATTGACATATTGATAATTGGCAATGATAAAATTGTGACGTGGACTACCCATCCAAAACTTAGAACATCCAATGGGCTCAATGGTTATATGACAACTCAAGTGACCCCTCTGGAGCCCATTTGCTCCACAATAGGAATGTGCCGTAATTCCAAGAAGGGAGTTCAGAAAAATTGAGGTTGGCACAATCCTGCTCGGTTATGACAAGCTCAGCAGTAAGCAGTCCGGGAGCAAGGAGCTCGGTATTTGCCAGAACTCGAACACCTTCCATCATACCACATGTCTAGGGGATAGTTTCTGGAGCCACTAACGAACGCGCACTCATTGATAAAAGGGATATTTGTGCACATTCCATGGAAGGACAGTGTATACGATTTATGTCAGAGTAATGGTCACTACTACAACACAAAAATGAGGGGACCATAGAATCAACCAAGGGAAGAAGAAGGTCGTAGAAAACCCTAGAAAACCATTTGTATAAATAAAACACCATCACATTATGTAAAAAAAGGGAGATACATCAGAAAAACCTGTACTCAGGATACCCTATTCACACTAGCTCTAAGCTAGTAAACCTGTTATAATTCTCTTCTTTCTCAAGCAATAGAAACCCTATGGAGCAGGAGCTTCTATTACAATGGATGTAGCCCGGGTCTGTCGACTAGGGTGAACCACTTACATTTTATCTTTGATACAACTTCACCATCCATTTTTCTCTGTTAACTTAGAGATTTACACTACCCCCTCCCTATCTTATTAAACTTTGTTTTGGACTTGGGGTTGAGCATTTTTGGGTACCATTAATAATTATTTTTATTTTATTCAATGAATTATAAGTGGAATCTTAATCAAATTAATTTTAAAAAAATTTAATTTTCAAACATCATTAAAAAAACACTTTCAATTACAAAATTATAAAAACAAAATAGAACATTAATTATTTCATTTTTATTAATTTTCTTAACGTGAGAAAAAAAAATTCTTAAAAATATACAAAGTTTTCAAAAATTCTACAATGGAGCATTAGAGATGAAAAAATAAGTTTAGTAAATTTGAGATGATATTTAATTCAAATACACTTATACCAAATATTTATTTAAATTTTTTAAAAAAATTATTCACGTGTAACACACATGGTGTATTACTAGTTGATAAATGATTGAATATGTGAACTAGTTTTTACTTACACTGATCCTAATTGTCGCTTTATTTGCAACTCTATTTTGTTATTTAATCAGGAGAGAGACTTTACCTTCATCAGGATCGCATCAGCCTGAGGAATGGCCTTGAACATATCACCCCCAACATGGGTTACTCCGTTGTACACTGGTGCAGTAGCAACTACATGAGGCAAATCAAAGTTTTTTCCTTGGATATATGTATACACCTTCACAATCTCAGCCACCACAACTCCAGTCCCACCCCCAACATCAACCAAAGATACAATCGAATCAAAAATTCCTCCATACTCTGAAATCTTCGCCTTCGTTATGATCTTGGTTGTACATGCCATGCCTTGGTGGAACAGCAAATTGAACTCTGGATTTACAGAAGCAAACTCAAACATCTCTCGGCCATGGGTCTTCTGGAAAGCAGTGCCGCCCTCTTTCACGCACTGGCTAAGGCACTGGAAGGGAGACGTACTGAACGGGTGGTTGCGCATGAACACCAAGGGGACCAAGCTCTGCTCGGCGTCCTGTAACAGCTAGTTAGAGGACTGGTTCAATCTATACAAAGACTCTCCGTTATGGGGTTGAGACATTTCGTAGAACACTTGTTTGTGGACTAAGAATCTCATGATGCGAGCCAGACAGTTGATGTCCAGTGAGGGAGAAGTAGAACCAATTTCAATGGCGATTTGGGTTAAGGTCATTGGGCGACCATGGGAGTGTATGATGTCTGGTATGCGTAGCTCCACGACACACTTCAAAGCTATGGATTCCAAAGAGCTAAATAGGTATTGCAATAATTTTGCTTGGTCTAGTATTGCAGCATCTACTTCTGCATCCATTGTTTTTCTCAATCTTACTTTGTGTGCCTGTGTGTTTTGTTGGGAATTAACCTCGCAACAATTTGATTAGTATAATGACAAATAAAACTAAATAAGCGAAATAAAAATTAAAGCGTAATTCGCAACACCAAAATTTACGTAGTTAAGCAAATTTGCTTTGCCTACGTCAGTAAGGCGTGATGCAGTCTCTTTTTTTTTTTTTTTTACTATTGAGAGAAAATGAGTTGGCGGGACTCTAGGTGGCTCTACAGCCCCCGGTTTGACACGTGCAATAATGAAGCCGTTGGGATATCCAAAGGGTGCCGAGGAGGTATGCCGAGGTATAGTGACACAGAGCAACTGATTACGACAGTTGACATCGTATTTAATGCGATGTGACCCATCATTCATGGCAGAATGAGTGATAGTGACAAAGCAAATAAATGCGCGTCTGCCAGCGCCTGAGTCTAAGCCTACTATCATAATGGCTAAGCATTAATGGCTGATGCGCCGAGACGACGCGATCGGCTCTCCTGAGAAACTGTTCTCCCCCGAGTATTCAATGTTCAATTGATGTCAGATGTCGATCTGGGGGATTTGGGTACTCGGGGAGTGGCATAAATGCTCAGTATTTGGCCGAGCATTTACCCCATTTTTCTAGCATTCAATAGGAGACGTGAGTAGAAAACACTCATTGCACGAGGAATGGTGTGTCAGAAGTAAGATGTCCAGATGGAACTGAAGATCTTTTGACAATCATTATTAATTCAAGTATAAATACTCCTCAGAAAAATGGACAAAGGTACGCAAACTTGAATTAGAAAAATAGTCCATTGAGCAAAACTCTTCGACCTTATACTGACTTAAGCTTCGAAGGGAATTAGTCAGGCGCTTGTCTGGCCCCATTTTTTTCTGATCTTGTTGTTTCAGGTTCGCCAGCTTGAAGGTCGCTGTCTCATACTGTTGTAGGAATTATCCCGTGCAATTTGGTGCCGTCTGTGGGAACGGAGGCATTTTTTTGGTTAGCGATCGTCTGATGGTGAACACTTGATCTCAGGGTGAGGGAGCAGGTGTACGAGCCAGGAACGCAGAGCCCGTCTGGCTTCCAATGGTTCTAGAGTCGGGTTCATTGGGCTAATTAGATGAGGTGGGGCATTCTTCGCAAAGAATGCTCCCTATGGATCAGGGCCTTGGGGGCGTGACCTCATGGCCCATGCCATCGTTGAGATGGTGGAAAAGTGGATGGGCAAATGCATTAAGCAGATTGAAAGGGAAAACGCCAAAGTCTAGCAACGTCTTGACGATTTAAAGCAGTCAGAGAGCGCAGGTGAGCATAGTCGCGGGTTCGGGGACCAGGTGCCTTGCCAGAACCTGTCCAGACCCCCTGGCATTGGCCCTCTAGGAAAGATTGGATTAGGCACTCGTCCGAGGGACGTAACCGCCAAGGAGGGTTCTCGGCCTCCAAAGGGAAGTCTGAATCGGGCCAGAAGGCAAGCCTGTCCAGGTGGGACCTGCGCCGAGGGATACCCGAGGATGTCGGAGCTGCCGAATCACAAGCGGAGTCCATAACCCAAAGGCCTCGAGGAGAAAGATCAAAAAAGGATCCCAAGGTCCCCTTCATTGCTCAGCGCAACCATGAGCCCGAGGTCTACTCCGACGAAGTTATCTCACCGTTCGTCCGGGCTATCAGGGAGACCGAGATGCCGAAGAAGTTTACCGTCCCACGGTTCAAAGTCTATGATAGGAAAATCCATCCCGAGAGCCGCCTTCGGCAATACCGACAATTGATGTCAATCTATGATACTGACCAAAGGGTGTTGTGTCGATTTTTTTCCCATGAGCCTAAGGGACACGGGCATGAGGTGGTATGAGAACCTTGCTCCTGAGAGCGTTAGGTCCTGGAAACAATTGACGGAGCTTTTCATAGCTCAATTCATCACCAGCAGTAAGAAATCGAAGGACATCGGCGCTCTGTTGACGCTTAGGCGAAAAGGGGGAGAGACACTCCGATAATATGCCGTCCGGTATTGGAATGAAGTGAACGAAGTGGAGGCATGTTCGGAGGCATTGGCCGCAACGTCATTTAGGCTGGGGTTGTCCCGGGACACTGATTTGTACAAATCGTTGACTAAGAAGGCTCCGACGGATATGAATGACTTGATGGCTCAGATTAACAAATATATCCGAGTGGAGGAAGAATCTGTCGCGCCCGAAAGCAGGGTCACGGTGCTGAGAAAAAGGGAAAGGGAGCAGTCGGCCCGAAGGGGAGGGCCTATTCCACCCCCAACTCGTCTATCCTTCCAGGTAGTGAACACGGTCTTCAACGAGCCCATTCACAAGATACTTCCCAAAATAAAAACAAACCTTACTTCAAGTGGCCCCTGAGGATGTTTGGAGACCCGTTGACAAGGAATGCGGCCTTCAGTTGTTCGTATCATAAAGATATCGACCATTTGACGGAGGATTGCAAGGTTTATAAATCCTTCCTCGAACAATTGGTGCGAGACGGACACCTCGGGAAATTCATCGACAGTGGTCGTCTCGGCGGGTCGGCGGGTCGACGAGGGAGCGAGTCGAGGTGCCAACTGAAGTAGCACCCGTGATTGATGTTATTCATGTTTGCACAATGGAGAGGCCTACATACAACTCCCTGCACGCCGAGTTACAAAGGGTCTTTCAAGCAATCAGGGTGGACGAAAGGGGTGATGAGCGGCCGCCCAAGAAGCCGCGGAGCGGTGCCAAGGTTATCCAGTTTTTCTATGTTGATCTCGACGGGGTAGTCCTCCCCTACGAGGATGCATTGGTGATCACTTTGCGGGTTGGAAAGTTCAACGTTAAGAGGATCTTAGTGAACTCGAGTAGTTCTTCCGAGGTAATGTACGATCACCTCTTCCGCAACATGGGACTCTTTCAGGGGGATCTGGAACCCGTAAAAATCCTGCTCATTGGCTTCAATGGTTCCAGCGCCTGCCCCTTGGAAAAATCACCCTCATGGTACAGGCAGGGGTGGTGACCACGCCAGTAGAATTTGTGGTAGTAGACTCCGACTCCCTTTACAACACTATTATGGGGAGATCGTGGTTGCATGCAATAAAGGCGGTTCACTCATCCTATCACCAGAAGATAAAATTCTCAACACCGCAGGGCATAATGGAAATTCTGGGTGATCAGGCGTCGACGAAAAACTGTTTCTATGCTGCGGTGAAAAAGGGAGTCAGCGGCTGAAGTCAGGAACGTGATCCCGATGTGGTGGTTGCCAAATAGCAATCACAAAGCGGTCGTCTGGGAGTGGACGAGCCCATTACAGAGCCGGTCGACCGGTCTACTGAGGCCTTGGTGAAGATTCTCCTAAGCCCAGATAGCGGTGAGAAGTACTTTTTGATAGGAGAGTCACTCGGCGACGCAAAGAGAAATGATATAGCCTCATTTTTACGCCACAAATGCCAATGTCTTTGCGTGGACCCAGGCTGAGATGACTGGGATAAGTGCCGAGGTGATGACTCATCGGCTCTATGTGAATCCCTCATTCAAACCAGTTAGGCAAAAGGCCAATAGAACGGCTCCTCATCACGCGAAGGTTGTGGATGAAGAGGTGGATAAGTTGTTGGGGGCAGGTTCCATCAAGGAGGTACAGTTCTGCCAGTGGCTATCCAATACCGAGTGCTCCAAGAAGAAAGAAGAAAAATGGCGAGTTTGTGTGGATTTCACGGACCTGAATAAGGCTTGCCCCAAGGACGAGTACCCTTTGCCCAAGGTTGATCAGCTGGTAGACGCCACAACTGGCCACAGGCGCATCACTTTTATGGATGCTCGGGCTGGATATCACCAGATTTCCCTGCATGAATCAGATCAGGAGAAAACAACATTCATCACGCCCCGGAGAATTTACTATTACACGATGATGCCTTTTGGGTTGAAGAATGCTGGGGCGACTTACCAATGTTTGATGAACAAAATTTTCAAAGACCAGCTCGGCGAAACGATGGAGGTGTAGATTGATGACATGTTGGTCAAAAGCAAAGAGGGGGTCGACCATCTCTATGATCTCGGGATGACATTCGACATCCTCCAGAAGTATGGCCTAAAACTAAACCCCTCAAAATGCGTCTTTGGAATGAGCTCAGGAAAGTTTTTGGGGTATTTGGTTACTCATCGGGGAATCGAGGCTAATCTTGAGCAAATACAAGCAATTCAGAATGTCCAGGCGCCTAGGACCATTAAGGATGTTCAAAAATTAGCTGGGATGTTGGCAGCCCTTAATAGATTTATTTCCAAGTCGTCCGATAAGTGCAAACCGTTTTTTGCCAAGTTGAGGGGGGCAGCTAAGGGGGTTTGGGAGGAGGAATGCGGTCGAGCTCTTGAAGGGATCAAGGAGTACTTAAAACATCCTCCGACTTTATCTGTTCCAGCGGTAGGGGATGTGTTTAGCCTTTACTTGTCCGTATCTCGAGACGCAGTGAGTGAAGCATTGGTCAGGGATAGTGAATGGGCCCAAAGACCCGTGTATTTCGTAAGCAAGATCTTGCTTGATGACGAGACAAGGTATTCTCCAATGGAGAAATCGATCTTGGCATTGGTAATCTCAGCGTGAAAACTTCCACAGTACATCTAGGCTCACGCCATAGACGTCCTTACAGATCGACCTCTCAAACCGATCCTTCACCGAGTCGATATGTCCGGGAAGGTTGCCAAATGAGCTATAGAGCTCGGAGAGTTTGAAATCAAGTACAAGCCTCGAATGTCAATAAAAGGACAAGTCCTGGCGGACTTTGTCGCTCAGTTCTTTCCGTCCGAGCCCCCACCAACGTCACAGGATCTAACAGGGGACGTTTGAGATCTTCATGTTAATGGATCCTCGAACGCAAGGGGGGCAGGGATAGGTATTGTGCTAGTCAACTTAGAAGGGTTCATCATTTAAAGGGCAATCAGATTAAAATTC